TATATATATATATATTAAAGAAGAAATCATTTCGTCGATAGACACACAGTTGCGAACTAAACATTTGTGTGTGTGTGTGAATCTGCCTACAAGAAAATCTGTCACCAAAGTACACCAATATATATATATATACATCATTAGAAACTGAGAAGGAAATATAAATACTAACTCACTCTTTCTTCCATTTCCTCCAGGTGTCGCTTGTTGTTGGATATCTGACACTTAGTAAAGCTTTCTGTATCCATTTAGAAGTAGTTTTAACATTGTCTGAAGTTACTTTGTTATTCCGAAATATTTTGTATCCTTTGACTGACAGGAGTAATAACTTGAAAGTTTTCTTGTAAGTAAACCAGTTAATCTAGCCTTCAACCGTTTTCTATGAGAGTCAAGAAATGAAAATCGAAATCGTCTAAACTTCACGTTTATTAAATATAGTGTCATCAATGACACAGTAAATTAAGTACAATTTTGCTGAAATCTGATTGTGGGAAAAGTAGCAAATGCCAATAACACTTATGGAGCAGGTTTTTGGTGTTCGATAAATATTAATAATTATAAACGTATTTCGGTAAGCCTAGCCTATAGCTATATGGATTGTAGATTAGGGTTAATTGTAACGTATACTAACGAGGTTAAAACGTGTGGGTTTCATTTGAGTACAACTGAAAGATATTAAGACCACAAACTGCACATTTGTATAGATCTCTTTCTGTATTACATTCATATACAAAGTCTGATTCGTATAGCAAGTATGAAAAATGTCTGCATCTTACTGGAGGCACAGAAAACACCTGGTTCGAGCACATATATTGAACATGTCTGCACCTCAGTACAAGCATGAGAAACAGCTGATGCGAACAAATGTATTGAAAATGCCTGTACCTTCCAAAAGGCACAGAAAAAGTCTGATCCTAATGAATGTATGAAAAAAAATTTGTGTCTTACAGCAGACACTGTAAACAGCTGATTCGTATAACAGGCACAGAGAACAAGTGATTCGATTAATAGGCATGGAAAAACGTTTGTTTTATGCAACTACAAACGTAGGAAACGCCTCATTTGTGCAAAATTTTGGGAACAAAGGATGGACATTACTGTATACACTTAAACTGGTTGATATGACTTACCTTTGTAATGAAGTTAGGTGTGGTTGATATGACTTACCTTGTTATTAAATTAGGTGTGGTTGATATGTCTTACCTTTGTTATGAAGTTAGGTGTGGTTGATATGACTTACCTTAGTTATGAAGTTAGGTGTGGTTGATATGACTTACCTTAGTTATGAAGTTAGGTGTGGTTGATATGTCTTACCTTTGTTATGAAGTTAGGTGTGGTTGATATGACTTACCTTAGTTATGAAGTTAGGTGTGGTTGATATGACTTACCTTGTTATGAAGTTAGGTGTAGTTGATATAACTTATCTTCGTTATGAAGTTAGGTGTGTTTGATATGTCTTACCTTTGTTATGAAGTTAAGTGTGTTTGATATGTCTTACATTTGTTATGAAGTTATATATGGTTGATATGACTTACCTTCATTATGAAGTTAGGTGTGGTTGATATGACTTACCTTGTTATGAAGTTAGGTGTGGTTGATATGTCTTACCTTTGTTATGAAGTTAGGTGTGGTTGATATAACTTACCTTCGTTATGAAGTTAGGTTTGTTTGATATGACTTACCTTTGTTATTAAATTAGGTGTGTTTGATATGTCTTACCTTTGTTATGAAGTGAGATGTGAAGTAACATCGGTTGAACTTGAGAGAGTATGAGAAAGCGGCCGACCTTTGATCAATTTTGAAGGAAAAAGGACGATTAAAATACGCTAAGTTATCAGAAAATGATTGGAGTGAACGGGAATAGCAGCTGTTTTTCCAAGTTCAGCTGGTATGGAGACTACAAGATCCCCTATGTTTATGAAACATTATAATCAGGTATACGGGAAACGGGTACAAAGTAAAAAGAAAGGGACCGGTTCTGCGTGGGTTTGAAAAAGGAATATAAAAGATAAGAGTCCAATGAAAAAGAAGAAAGACCGGAAGATATGAGAGATCGAATAAACCGAGAGGGGCGAAGGAAGAAAGTAATATGCTGCCAGTAAGAACACAAACCTATTTCTAAATCTATGTGTTATTATTTACCAGTAATAAAGAGTAATTTGTTACATTTACATTAATATGAATCAATTCCTGATAAAAATTGGTACACTTTGAATAAAGATGATGGACACAGAAAGAGAAAACGATAGAACGATCGTAACAAAGTGGTGTCAGAAGTGGGATTCTTCAGTTCTTTAGGAATCAAAATCCAACAATCTAAAGAAGAGTGTGATGATAGGAATTTCGGAACCTGAGATTAGAAAGAAACACAGCCAAGACTGAATACAATCAGCATTGTTGAATGTGTTCAGAAAAAGGGTGGAGATGTGTGGTGAATTAAGGTGTAAAGTACGTGTATAACACGATTGTAATAACCTTTCCCAAAAGTATATTAGTATATTAAATTTTTGAGGTGTTGTCACACAAGTTATTAACCTTTTTTAGTACAAGTACGATGTTTAATTCCTTCTGTTTCATTGTCAATATGCGCGAATTTTACACTTTAAGGGCAGATCATAACCAAACTTTCGTTATCAATCACACAGACACGCATTGCGAGTAGGAAAAAAAATCACTCTGGCTGTGTTCGATACAACCTTGAATTAATGTCAGATAGTTACTAGGGTTATCAAAACCGTTAGTTTAAACTATAAAACGTGTCAATTTCAAGTACATATTTATGTTTGTAAGTGTTTGTTTGTTATTAAGCACAATTATATGGTGTATGGAAAGTAGTCTTGCTCTGCCCACCACGGGTATCGAAACCCGGATTCTTGCGTTGTAAGTCCGCAGACATACCGCTGTGCCACTGGGGGGGGGGGGGCTTGTGTGTTTCACATAGACAGAGATGATTGTCTACTAAAAATATAATCTGGGAGTTTGATTGACCAATAGATATTATTTTAGATAAATCATGTATTTTACAGACATACGTGTTCTGTATTAAGCTTGTTTTTTAATTGAAAAACGTTACTGGAAAAGATATTTTACAATAAACATTATCAATGTCAAGTATATTTATCAATAATAAAATTTTTGTAGGTTGAATTTTAAAAAAAAAAAGAACAGAAATCTAGGTGTCGCTGTGGATATAAACTTGGATAGAAAAGTGAATATGAAATAATAATATTAATATTTTTTTCATTTACTTAATCCCCGATCTTCTACATCTATTTCTGTTTCCAGCAAACTTAAATTGTGTATGTGAAAATGTGTAAACGATTTTAATTTGGTGTCTTTCGAATATGTGAGCATTTTCTGAACAAGGATTATCTATTTTTCTTTCTAGCCCAGTGCTGGCAGAGAAGAGGTCGTTTACAAGAAAGTCGCTGTGGTGGAGAATTTCTTCGATATTATTTTTGGAGTTCACGTTGAAATGGATGGTCGTGGGGGCAAACATGCTGGGCAAAAACGAACTTATAAAGCGGTTAGTACGAGGAATCGATCAATCAGTCAGTATGTCAGTCACGGTTGCGATTCACTACATAATGATGATTGTTTGTTTGTTTTGAATTTCGCACAAAGCTAAACGGGGGCTATCTGCGTTAGCCGTCCCTAATTTAGCAGTGTAAGACTAGAGAGTAGTCATCACCACCAACCCCCAACTCTTGGGCTACTCTTTTACCAACGAACAGTGGGATTGACCGTCACTTATAACGCTCCCACGGCTGAAAGAGCGAGCATGTTTGGTGTGACGGTGATTCGAACCCGCGATCTTCAGATTGCGAGTCGAACGCCCTAACCACATGGGCTCCGGAATAATGATAATAATACAATCCACAGAAGTACGAAGATATAACTGAGTAGTTCTTATTAATATCACAATCTTTTTATATTGGTACACTCGTGTACTTTCAACTTCAATGCGACGAAACAAAAATTAAGCAGTGAAATTTTGTGAGCAATAGAAATAAGAGCGAGTTTACATTCGATGTCACGAAAACAAGATCTCTTGAAAGACTGAATACGGTAATCCGGAATTTGTTTCACAGTTTCTTCTGTACTTAATTTTGTATTATGGAAATATGCATTATCTAGGTGGTTGCGAACCGTCATCCAGGTTTTCCACAACTCGTAGGCTTACCTGTTTATTTAACTCTTTACTTCCATAGTATACGCAGTTTTTAAGAGGAAAAACAATTAAAAACAAAACAAAAAGGAATTATACGCGCGTCGGTCTTATCTAAGTAATAACAACTATAAATATTTCTAAACTTTGATAAACAGTTTTTAAGGCTGTGTATCTAGGTTCGCATTGGATATTTTATATATATTCCTCTCTTTCATGGAACTCATAAGACTCCCCCCCCCAGTGGCACAGCGGTATGTCTGCGGGCTCACAACGCTAGAAAGCAGGTTTTGATACCTGTGGTGGGCAGAGCACAGATAGTCCATTGTGTAGCTTTGTGCTTAACTTCAAACAAACAAACAAAATTAGCCTCCACCCGTAAAACATTTGCGGTAGTTTTCATGCCCTTCGCTTGAATTTTCCTTATTCTATCATTTTCACGCACGGCATTTAAGCTACGCTTTGTTGCAGGGATTATATGTTAGATCGATAAATCCTGGTATATTTGAAAAAAATTACAATGTCAAACTCACGTAGACGTAATTTTGTTTAACTCTATCACCACGGGCATCATTTTCTGCGCATATAACGAAATTTTTGCGAGTTACATTCAAATTTTAATTAAACTATTTTCTTATCACGGTATACAAATAAATACAACATAAAAACGTAGCTAATTACCTATATTTTAATAGTATATAAGTTTTAAATTCTTAAATTTCTAAGGCAATATTAAAAATAAACCTGAATTTCCCCTAGTGTGAAAAATGTGGCATTTTTTTTTCTCTAGGCATCCCCTCTTCTCTAATTTATTCACCACCCTTCCAAAAAGTACGACATTCAACGTAAATTACATATTCTAATTTTGTCAAGCCAATATACAATCCAGACTCCTGGGACAAAGGCCTTTCTAGCGTTTGATCGAAAAATTTGCGACAAAATGTCCAGACCGATAGAAAACCGGAAACGTATTATTTATATCGATATAAGAAGATAGATTAAATAACCTGAACTGTTATGAATTTTTTATATAATACACAACTAACTCATAAAAAAAGGTTGAAGAACGAAAACGTAGAACACGAACAAAAACGAGAAGTTTTATCACTTTTGTTTTATTGATGTTTTTATTGTCCCTGTGAATTTTACTTTTGCAGCTTTTATAATAGAAAAAAAAAGGACTTCCACAGAGAAGCGACTGTCAGCTTAAGCTATTTAGGTTGTTTAGCAAGGACTTGGGAAAACCATGCAAACTTACTGTATAAAATTACCATGGAATCTGAAAAAAAAAGGAGGTACAGCTTAAAAAGCATTATTCTTCTTAATGCCAATGGCCTAAAAAATCACAATTACTGAATGTTCAGTCCTTAAATCCTTTATTAAATATCTCATCTTTCTGGCAAAGTTATTTATTTTGCAAGTACATTTTATATTTATATGTATTGGAATTCGGTATAAGCGTTGTCATGGTGATAAGTCGCCATCATTTTTTTTTTCATTCCTGTGTCAGTAGAGGGTAGAAAGATTAGTTGTGTGCTCAAACAGCTTGCCAGTGATTTGGCTGAGCACCCGCTTCAGACACGTCAGCCTATTATAATCTTTTTTTTTTTATCCCCTGACTAGATTGCCAAGACGTACGCATTTCTACCTCGTGAGGCGGTCACCCATTTCCTCATGTCCTGTGCTGACTGCCAGAAACGGATGCACCTCGCCGCCGAGGGCGCTACTAACAACAACGGAAGAAAAGGCGGTTACCAAGGTAACGGAGAACGTAGTGATAGCAGCGGCAGCAGTTCCCCGGAATCTGGCTCTCCTACCCACGGCAACTGCAGCGCCACAGCCGAGGCAGCGACCGATATTGACTATAGTTTACCAATTACCACAACATATTTGAAACGAATGAGAAGTTTAGGGTTTTCGGATGAGGATGCTTTGAACCCTGAAAAGAAGGTAAGTATTATCCTACTTTTATAAATCAATTTCATATACAAATCCGAAGTATCTTTCCAAACCTTTGAAGGATTTTTTTTAATGTAAATATATATATATATTCTTACAAAATTCTTTGTATAAACCAAACCATGACATAAAAACATGGTATAGTTGTGTTTTATTTTATTATACTTTAAACATTCTAATTAAACTAAACTTTACAGTGTACTTAACCTGGAAAATATGATGTTAAAAAAAACATCAAAAACAAATAAAAATATTCGTTAGAGAAATAATCAGAAAAGCTTTTGTTTTATGGCTACTGAACAAAGCTTTTATTTTATGACTTCTGAACAAAGTTTTTGTTTTATGGCTACTGAACAAAGCTTTTGTTTTATGGCTACTGAACCAAGTTTTTGTTTTTTGGCTACTGAACAAAGTTTTTGTTTTATGGCTACTGAACAAAGTTTTTGTTTTATGGCTACTGAACAAAGCTTTTGTTTTATGGCTACTGAACAAAGTTTTTGTTTTATGGCTACTGAACAAAGTTTTTGTTTTATAGCTACTGAACAAAGTTTTTGTTTTATAGCTACTGAACAAAGTTTTTGTTTTATAGCTACTGAACAAAGCTTTTGTTTTATGGCTACTGTTTGTTTGTCTGTTTGTTTTG